GAACCAGTATGAATCTGTAAAGTACCTCATGGAAGCTGCAAAGATTGATCAATCTCGTCTACTACAACAAACAATATGCTATCACAGGCCAAGCAACTGGTCTTTCTGTGTCTCATGGGGATATTCTGTTCATCTCTACGAGGGTATCATCCCAAGCTTAGTGCATATCACAACTTGTCAAGCCCATTGAAGTTCGAATTGTTGTTCAGTACAGGAGACATATAGGCTATGAGAGAACAAAGATGTGAGGTGGCTTGTGATGAGAGATGATGACACTTTTTTCTTTGCAGATAACATAGTTGACATTCTGTCGAAGTACGATCATACTAAATATCATTATATTGGAGCATATTCAGAGTGTAAAGTGCAACTAGGATTTCTACTTTGACATGGGATTTGGAGGAGGGTATGCTCCAAGCTTTGCCCTATTGGAAGCTCGGGTACCAGGTACGTATGACTGTATTGAGAGATATCCTCACTTGACAGTCAGTGATTCCCTCCAATTCAGTTTTGAATCTCTTTTTCAGGGAACGATTGAACTTAAAAGCCCTTCATACAAATTTCCAACAGGGTTTAAGGAAAAGCAAAGAGAAAAGAGAAAGTTCAATAGAATTAAAATCAAGATGTACACGTTATTGAATGATATATAAAAAATAAAAATAAAAATTCAGAAACTGCTCGCTTAACCATGATCCAGACATGTATAAGTATCCAGTGATATCCATGATGAGAATGATCTTCCTCAAAAACCAATGTACTTGCTTTATATAACTGACACAGAGAAACACAAGAATTTCCAACTTTCTAAAACTGAACATAAATCAAGCCAATGCAGCGTTCTCCTCATGAACCTTCTGGATTCCTATTAAGCGAGCATAGTCGACCCACCTAAGACAAAAAATTGAAAATTAGTGAAGGGTGAGGGAGAGGAGGGGGAAGATTATCATTGCAATTGTTTGTTTTTGGTGTTTGTGAAGAATGGGATAGAAACTTACAATAGGGAACCCAAGTATGTGTTGCCTGTTCGGACAGCAAAGCAAATGGCACTCAGTATAAGCTTGTGTTGGTGTAGCAAGGGCTCCAAAATCCGTTGCTCAATTACACCAGCCAGCACTTGGTACCTATTTGACACCATAAAACCATTAGCAAAAACATCCCAACCCTTAATAATTTAACCTATCTGACTCCCATGCAATTGCATGAATTATTTTCACTGGTCCCATGTTTGAATGAACTTATGTTCACAAAAGGTTCAAAATCTACACACCTGAGGTTGCTTGAAACTGCCATATAGACACCATAAGCAGTACTAGTGGAAAATATGGGCACATTTTCAACTTCAGCTGCGGAAGACTTATCAACAGCTTTTCTTGCATTGATCAAGGCATTTGTTACTGCTGTGCCAACCTAAGGAAACTCATTTTAGTTAGACTCCATAATATCAGGGTTTGGGCTTTTAATTTGATGGACTGATGGTTATGAGCAACAACCAGAAAATACTTACCAGTGATGAAGTGGTGCCAACAGCAAAAAGTTTTGCCCCATTACGCTGCAGAACACATAAAAAATGTAAAATATGCTGGTTCACTCCCAACTCAGATCTTGAAAAAATATATATTTAACATGTTTAAGACACAGATTCACTAACCACTATTGCACCTAGTCTCTGTAAAAATGAATATGAAGTTCCCGGAAGGGCAATCTGCAGATAAGTTCTGATGATTAGATTAACTGCTTCAAGCCTCGACGTTTGCAAACTAAAAACAAATTTACAAAATATCCAGAAAAATCTATCATTCTATGGAAGAAAAAAAAAAAAAAAACCTGGAATGCATTGTCAGGGCAGCTGTAGAAGAACTTGGAAATAGGTCCAGCAGTGACAGCAATAGGAGGCCGGAGAGAAACAGTAGGTGCTGGGAGATAAACAAGCATGAAATCTGCTATTATGGCCATTACCTAAAAGATAAATAAAATGAAAAATATTTTTAAATTGATAGAAACAGCACACAGTTCAATATGTAATGCCCAGACACTACAGAACTGCATTTTGCAATGAGAAACTTTTCCTGAGAACTCACTGATGGATTAATAGTACAAAAATATAAACATCTTTCCAGTTAATCTGAATCAAGAACCACAGTGATTGTCCATTTAAAATATGCAATCAGCAAAACAAATGCCTAAGCCTCTCAAACTATTCCACAAAAATCAATAGCAGGAAATGGCAAATAAACATTTAGCTACGTACTTTGGAACATACAGAGTATCTTAAATAAAGACAGGAATAAAAGCAATCAATCCAAAAGAACGCCAATAAACGTCCTTTATCATTCTTGCTAAGTAATTCCTGCCGACAACAAAAGGGATCTTAAAAAATAATCAATTATGACAATAACAACCATACCACATCAGCAAAAACAATCTCAAGCTCCTTGAAAAAGTTTTCTTTGCGACGATCATACTCTGCTGCAGTCTGGAGAACAGAAAGAGAATACGAAACTACAGTTTAAAACTGATACTATAATACCAAATAGAGAGAGGATAATATTCGTGAAAAACTAACATAACAATCTGCTATATTCGACCCGAGTTTTCCTATATTTTCCCCTTTACAAATTCGTAATTAATGCATGACCATGTTTCCTAGTTGATTCAAGCATTCTGCTGCTCAGCCAAGACAAGACAAAGCTACTTTACTAGCATATCCAGGCTTGGATGCCATGACTCAGATATTAAGAACACATATCATTAAGAGATGACAAAATGTCACACAACAAGACCACCATTTTCAAGCATGCGCAAAGCTCTCCAACCTGTTTTTATCCTAGATTTTGCATTCCTAAGTTTTCTGCCATTTATGCATGATAATAAATACTTAATACAAAAATCCTCACGAGTAATTACCTTAGATTGTGGGAGCTTGATGCAAAACAGATTTATCCATACCATTTTGTTAAAATAATTAGCATCATTGCAGTGAAAAATTCTATAACAAATTGTTACAAACACTCTTACTTCCCCTTTAACAAATTCAACCCCAAACTTCAAAAGAAAAACACTAGCAATTGATTGAATCCAAAAAAGAACATACCTTTGTGAAGACCCCAACACCACACTCCATAAAAACCTTAGCCAAGAAAAGATCATCAGCCAGAAGCCTCTCCTTAAATCCACCAAGCTGCATCAACCACCGCATAAAAGCCGACTTCTCGAGGCTCAAAAACCTCTCAATCACGGCGGGAGGAATCTTCCCAGCTCGGATCGCCGCTGCTAAGTCCTTAGGCAAACTATCCAATGTCCTCCCAGCCTCTGACAGCAGCATCAAGGCCTCCTCCCAGTTCCTGCTGCCCGCATTCTCATCACCATTGTCTTCACCCCCTTCATTGTTGTTTTTCCCGTCATTGTTATTGCCGCCGCCGCCACCACCACCACCAGAACCGCTATTATTATTGTCAATGATGCCATCACCGCCGCCAGTGGCGGCAAGGAGGGTTAAAAAGGGGAAGCCTCGCTGCTGGCCCGGGCGGAGAGTGGAGAAGGAAATGGGAGTGCAGATGGTGGAGGGGAGGCCGACATTGAGATGGATAGGTAAAGGAGCGAACTTGAGGGTGGGTTTGGCCACAGGAAGGGAGACGGAGGTAGCCGGGGTGAAGAGAGCGGCGAGGATGGACATTGTCGGGTGGCGCCTGGTGGCGGGTTCTGCTATCACCTCTGTTTTCTCTGTCTCTGGGTTGGCGTTAGTTGTGAAAGTAGGGGAAGGAAAGCAAAGTTTTGAATCTACTGACTTACAAGGGTCAATTTGTCTAGGTCAAGTGGTATCATCCATACTCATTTTGCCCACTCACTTTGCAGCAAGTGTATCTCACGCTCCCTTTAAAAGGCTGTTAAAAATTATTTTCTGTTTTTTTAATTATGGGATAAATATGCAACCCAAAATAACAATTTTTTTTAATATATATTCGTAGTTGGGAGAGTGGCTTATAAGTTTTTCTCTTTGTTCAATTGCACAATAAAAACAATTATTTATCATTTTTTAATTTATTTTATTTGTATATTACATAATTTAAATTTAAAAACTTTTGAAATTTATTTTGAAAGAAAATTAATACTAAATTAGTTAGCTGACAATGTAAAAATACTTATAATAAGTAACATTTATTTTTTCATACTTTTAATACATATTTCCATTGATAAGAATTGAAAATCAAAAATATCAACTTGGGGAGGAGAGATCAGGGAGATAAAAAAAGAGAGAGAGAAAGATTATTTGGGTTATGGAAATGGTACTCAATAATTTTGTAAAGAGTAACAATTAAAGACTCTATTTGGTTACTACTTTTTTTAGAAGGCATTTTCAAGAAAATCAGCACTTATTTAGAGCTAGCTTAGTCCAAGAAAGTTTTTTTGGGGCACAAAATCAAGATAATTATAGCTCGTTATAATTTTGCATAATTGATTATAAAGTGAAGATAGTTGGTTATAATAAAATAGTTATAATGAAACATAACCAATTATTAATGTCATGAATTATTTTATCCAAAAAAACTATGAGAAAGTTGCTTTCTGAGTTCAATAGTGCACCATATTCAAATATAGTTCGTTATGCTACTTTTGAAGCAACTAAGGCCAGCTATATTCAATTATAATCAATTATATTTTTACATTAAAATTGTTAGAAATTGGGGGTTAGAAAACATATCATTGGTTTCAAGATATGTTGCAAATGTCACTTTCTTTTTCTTTAGGTTATTTTCGCTCCCACCATTTTAATATGCCAAAAGAGTTAACCGAAAATACCTATCGAATACAATGAAGCCTTGTTGATTACGCCTTATACTGACGAAACGAACCACTATATCTCAATTCTTCAAGTGGCAAATTTATCATTTTCATACAAGGATTTATGCAGTAATCGTAGTACAAAAAGGGAATGTTTTATTTAGATAATAATAGGAATTTTTTCTGTGTTCAATAGATGAAGAAGAAGAAGAGATAACTTTATATTTATATAAACAAGATATATGTTGAAAATAGATGCTCCTTTTTAATTTATTAATTAAAAATATTTGAATTTTTGTTAACTTTATCCGTTGAAAACTTTTTCAAAAGTCATTTAGTTTTATTTAAATTTCAATTCACGTGTTTCCTTACCTTTTAAAGTTTTTCATTCTTTCTTGAAAAATTTATCAAAAATTTATCTTTTATTTCTGATGTAAATGATTCAAACCATATAAATGTGGTTTGAACCAAAATCATATTTTTTGAATTTTGTTTTTACGTAAATAGTTTAAGTCATATTTATATGATTCAAACCAAAATCTTAGTTTCCCAAACACATTTTGTGCAATTGTTTTGAACTAACTTTTTATGGTTCGAACCCAAATCCTAAAACTATTTTGAAAATTCTTCAACAAAAATTTGTGCTAAAAATAAAATTTGTTGAGCCCTTAGCTTAAAAACTTATCAGCTTCAAAACTCCTTTTAGGAAAGTAACTAAATTGACCCTAGGGGAAATTGAGGGATGGAAAACAAAATGAAATTTGTGATTTCCTTCCATTTTCTTTTTATTTTCCTTATATGATTAGATTAAAATAGAAACAAAATTAAAATAAAATAAGAAAAAGCCCCTTCTCTCCTTCTCTAATTTTTTATTTAAATAAAAAATTTTCTCTTCCTCCTCTCCGATCTAAACAAAGGCT